TCTCTCACTTTATACAAAAAATGCAAATTGTATAAAATGTGTTTGTGTTTGTATAAAGCGAGAGAAAATTGTATATATACATATATTTTCGTTCCCCTCTCCCAGATCTCGCTCGCCTCTCTCACTTTATACAATTGATCTTTTTGTATATATATACCAAAGCAGATTATACAACTGCTTTCTTTTGTATATGTATAGCGAAATATACATATTTATGTTTGCTATGGAGCGCAATTATGCAAACTTTGCTATAGCATACAAATATGAATTTTGTGTTTGCTATATGTGAAAGTTGCTCTATATCAATGGCAACAAAACTTTTCCAAGAAAATAGAGATCCAATTTGTAACAAACCTGTTGGTGGTTCACAGAGAAATGTGCCCCATATATTGGTGACCCCATAGCCAATATGGGCCTCTAATTTCAGAATTATTGTTCAAGTGTTGTTCTTCTTTTCGACTTTTAGTCACATATAAGATAAAAAATAATAAATATGTTTTGTGGCTAAAAAATCAAAAAATAATTCAAATTACATTCTTTCTAAAAAAAAACGTCTATTTATTTTTCATTTACATACCACAACAAAATAACATTTTAGCGTCAACAAATATACACATTCATAAATAGTACTAAAGTTTTTACCGACATTAGTTGATGTCATTGGATCAAATGTCGCTATAGGCTTTAGGGTCGCTTATAAAGAGTGTTAAATACCGCTAAAATACATATTTAACGAAAATTAAGCTATTATCATTAATTAATTACCACTAAAGATCATTTTTGATATAGTGACTCTTCTTTAAAAATTTCCGTTTGAAATAAGGAAAAGATATGAAAAAATGAAAATTCTTATAATAATAATAATGGTAAAGTCAATACTTTGAATAGACCCTCAAACAAATTCAAAAAGTTATATAAAATGAGATAAGTTTGGACTAAAATAAGCTAAATAGTGAGTCATATGTCATAGCTAATTAACATGTTCAATTCTTACAAGTTTTTTTTTTTCAATTTGCTTAATTAATTTTAAGAGTTATCACAGATTGCATGCCTCTATTTCAAAGTGATTTTAATTTTTACCCAAATTTAGTTATTAACCTAAATTACTCATATATCCAAATCCAAGAAATGATTTCAAAAGGAGATAAAAGCAAAGAAAACATACATAACCACACATTATATGATCTTTTATTTAATTGATAAACACATTACATCCAAAGTTTATTTCTTAGCCACATAATTTTTTCCTTGAACAAGCACACTTTGGTCACTTAAGTTATTTATTTATCTAATTAAGTGACTAAATGTTGAAATTATAGGCCCATGATCATGTCTTAATTAGCCAACAAATGGACCACAAGTTTGTCTGAAATTCCAACAGGCTTGACAAAACGAAGCATCAGAGCAATCATCATGTGTAGTACATGGTTTTCCGCAAATTGGATCTTGATCTTCTTGGGCCATCACATGAATTTTGGTGGAGTATAATGAATTATGAGCTACAAAATTTAAAATTATAATATTTTATAAGCATAACGTATTTGAGATATTTATCTTAAAATTATTTATTTTGTTCTTTGTAAAATTAATTATTACTAGACAAAAATATGTGACTTGTTTTAAATCATAAATTTCAAATTGACTCTTAAAATTCAAGTTTTGGTGGAAATCATAATAATATGGTTGTTATTGTTGTAAATGGCGTGCGTGCGTGCGTGTGTGTGTTTCGGGGGGGGGGGGCAAGCGTGGAAGAAGAAATGGAGAGGAGGGGTAAAATGGATTGGGGTCGGGTGGTGAGATGACATGTCATATGGATATTAGTATTATGTGAAATTGAACGTCTATTTCGAATAACTTTAAAAAGGAAAGGAGAAAGGTGTATCTTTAAAAGGTATATTTTAAAAAGGGTAAAGGGTCAAATATGCCCCTAAACTATTCGAAAAGGTCTAGATATACCATCCGTTTAAAGTTTGGCTCACTCATGCCCTCGCCGTCCAACTTTTGGTCTAAATATGCCCTTATGGGAGTTAGTTGGCCTGCTGGACATATCCAGCTCATTTTTCATTTCTTTAAATGCCACATGGAATTGTCATTTCATTTTGACTTTACCACATGACATTTATATGAAAATGTAAAGGGGTCAATTATGCCCCTAAAAAATTCGAGCTCATAAACACCTAATCCGACCCATAAATCAAACCCCCTTTTAAATAAACTATCCGACCCATTTTCAACAATTTTGTTTAAATTTTCATCTTTTTCGGTAAATCCCGAAAATGAATAATTGATTAATAAAAAATATGAAAAAAAATATAAAATTAATGCCAAAAATTCACAAATAAATATTGTAACCTTAAATTCAACAATTTCAACAATTTTTTAAATTTTTTTTTTTTTGATAAATCCCAAAAATGAGTAATTGATTAATAAAAAATAGGAAAAATCCAATACCATAAAGTTTGAAGTTGTGTCCGTAAAATTTGAAGCTTCATGATAGTAGCTACTATTCAATTACAATAACAACAAGATGAAATGACTTACCAGCCATAACAACAAGAAGAGTGGTGAAAAGGATAACAAGTTTTTGTGCCATGGTAATTGTCCTTGTTAATTATACTTTCAAAGTTGAGAAATAAATAGTACAAATAATGTAGATGACATTTTAATCCACCTCTAAGAGTAGTATTTATAAGCTTTATTCAAGAGAGACTTAGCAAAGTTTGGCCATCTTTGACAATTAAAATGTATCACAACCACACAAGTTATTCAGTTTTTGAAAATCTTAGAGAACACTACTACACGTCATTGACAATTAACATGTCTGAATTTGAATATAAATATTTATTATTAAAATATATTTTTTAAATCTACCTATTGAATAATTAAGAGATAGCAATTTATTCTTTCAGTATTTAAACGTGCATAATTTATTTTAAATAAAATAATACATAGAAATTAACAAAATTGTAATTTATATTGTACTTCAAAATTTATTCATTTGATGAAGTATAATTAATCTACAAGTTAACATCGATAGTAGTTGGTAATAATAGTCAGATATAATTGTGATGTGATGAATAACGATAATCATGATTGATGGAGATAGCTAATAATGATAGTTGTGTCATCGTGGCGATTTAAATAAGATGTATTTTACTCTTTTTTTACTGAACTTATTCAACACAAATTGAAATAATTAAATATTATTGAAATATATGCCACCTACCCTATATGATTATCTATTAAAGAGGATATATTCAATACAAATCAGAAATAACTAAATATTATTGAAGTAGTATGTCACTTATCCTATATGATTATCTATTAAAGTAATGAGTCATGATTCGAAATTAGTCCACAACCAGGGGCGGATCTATGAAGGGCAGTAGGGGTGCCACGCCACCCCAGAACTTCGACGAAAACTCTATATATACATAGGTATATATACATAATATTTATATAAATATAAAGTGTGCCACCCACAGAACAAAATAGGCTTGTGGTGCCATGGTAAGAGGGCAATTTTAGAAGGTTGAGGTTGCGGGTTCGAATCCCATTTGAACCTATTTTTTTGAAAAATTGTTGAAGACGTTTTTTAAGTGAAAAAAAGGCTCCAAGCCTCTTTTTTTTTTAAGGAAACAGCTGGCACATTATTTTATTTTATTTATAATTGTTATTGACTTAAATTAAATTAATTACATTACTCCTTTGACTTAGAAGTGTTCTCTTTCTCTTCAACTATTTCCAAACCCTTCTTCCTCCAAGTTTCAACTTCTCCAAAAAATTTATTACCCCATTCCGAACCCAAATCACTTCTTGCGTTGCCGCCCCCCGCCCGTCTTAGCATTCCGTTCAGCGGCTAAGCCTCATTTGGGTGCTTTTGTTTTCACTTTTCTCCATCCATCCACAACTTTTAATAGATTGTAAGTTTGCAATTCTATTTTTGTAAAAAAAAATTTATTTCTATTTCTTGAGTTCTTTTAAGTTTTAATCAGTGATGATTGATTTCATATTAGACAAGAGTTTTGATTTTACTTTGATATTCTAAATTTCTAATGAACATTGTAAGACATTATTGGTTAAAAATTGTGTGATATGAATCATGTTAATTTGAATTAACTATGCCTTACCCTATTAAATTTGAATTAATTGTGAGTTGAATTGAATTTTAATTTTTGTAGGAAAGTGTTCTAGTTTTGTGAATTGAGATGGAGAAGTTTCTTGTGAAATTTAACCATTCTCAAGCAAGTTCTAGTACGAATGTCAATCCTTCTAGTCTTATAGATGACCTTAATTTAGATTCACTTGAAGCCGATCCAAGAAAAAGAGTACCAATTGCTCACTATAACCCTCAAATAAAGGATGAAGTGAGGAAACATTATATTCAAAAAGGGCCTTGTCAACCAAAAATGGATTCATATCCTCCAACTGAAATTGGAAAAAGAATGCGTCAATTTTGTAAAATTTGGTTTGAAGGTCCATATTCTAAATGGTTGGAGTATAGCGTGGAGAAAGATTCTGTCTATTGTCTATGTTGTTATTTATTCAAAGATGATTTTTTCCATGGAAGTACAAGTGAGTTTTACACAAAAACGGGTTTTAGGAGTTGGAATAGGGCACTTGAAAGATTCCGTAAACATGTTGGTGATGTTAATAGTATTCATGACAAATGTTTCAACAAGATGCTAGATTTGTCAAATCATCATCAATCAATTCAAGTTGTTATTGATAAGCATTCTCAAAAGTTAAAAAATGAGTATCGAATGCGTTTGGAAGCCTCAATTGATGTGTCAAGACTTCTTTTGCAATATGGATTACCTTTTCGAGGTCACGATGAAAGTGAATCTTCAATTAATCAAGGCTTCTTTCTAGGATTTTTGCGATGGCACGGGGACAAACATCCGAATGTTGGAAAAGTGATATTGGAAAATGCCCCACAAAATGATACGTTGACTTGTCCTATGATTCAAAAAGATATTGCCAATGCTTGTGCAAAAGAAACATTGAAAGCAATAATTGGGGACTTGAATGGAGATTACTTTGGTATATTAGTTGATGAGTCAAAAGACATCTCTCACAAAGAACAAATGGCTCTTGTTTTGCGTTTTGTTAATAAGAATGGTGAAGTAGTTGAACGATTTATCGGTCTTGTCCATGTTAGTGATACATCGGCATGTTCATTGAAGAAAGCGATTTATTCTTTGCTTTCCGTTCACTCACTAAGTCCAACCAAAATACGTGGACAAGGTTTTGATGGGGCTAGTAATATGAAAGGAGAGATAAATGGGCTCAAAACTTTGATTATGAAAGATAGTCCATCGGCATATTACATTCATTGTTTTGCTCATCAATTGCAACTAACACTAGTGGCTATTGCTAAAAAACATTTGGATGTTGAAGACTTTTTTGATCATGTTAGTAATGTGTTGAATGTTGTTGGAGGATCTTTCAAGCGTAGAGACTTACTTCGTGATCACCAAGCCAAAAAGTTAGAGCAATTATTTGAATCCGGTGAAATTCAAAAATGTCACGCCTCGAGCCTATACCCTGGGCGGGACTGGCACTCGAGAACCATTGAT